TTAGGTTACCAATCCGATCAGGTAAGTATGACAAGTTATTCGTGTGTAGACGCAAATCTTGAAGTTTATTTAGGTCACATATGCTGTCAGGTATTGACGTAAGTGAGTTTCTGGACACCCAAAGTTTTGTCAAATTTTGTAATTTACCAATGCTTTCAGGTAATGATGACAGCTTGTTCCTGTGTGCTTGGAAATCTTGCAGTTTGTTTAGATCACCAATACTATCAGGTATTGATACTAGTGAGTTCTTAGATATCAGAAACGTTTCTAAATTCCGTAATTTGCCGATACATTCTGGTAAATGTGATATTTGATTGTTATTTAGATACAGTCTCTCAAGCTGCTGTAGATTGCAAATACTATTTGGTAATGTTTTGAGTGAATTGCGTTCCAAGCATAATGTTGAAAGATTTCGGAGTTTGCAGATGCTACCAGGCAATGATGTCAGTCGATTACTATTCATATGCAGCATTCTCAATTGCTTCAGTGTACTAATGGACGGTGGCAGTTTAGCTATTCTGTTTTTTTTCAAATCCACATTATGTACACAGGTGTAGGTTGTCAGTAGAATTCCTGGGAACGTGCTCAATCCGCATCCTCTACCTTTGTACTGAAGTTTCTGTCTATTCCATGTTGGAGTGGGTTGAGTGTAGTTGAGTGGCAATGGAGTTATCGTCGGTTCCCTACATAATATAAACAGTGTGTCAAAGTGAAATTGTTGAAGTTAAATACGTGTTACCCATAGGTTAAGTGATAGTTAACTGCCTGTTTGGGGTCCAGGTTCTGATAAACGTCTGAGGCCCGTAGGACAGAGGATGTTTACGAGAACCGAGGCCCCAAACAGGTCATAGCTACCATTAGATTCCGAATTGCTATACCTTAATGATACTGTAAATTTGGCAAGTTTTTTTTTTGCAGCCCAAACGCGGTTTGTGTGTTGTCACAGTGTAAGGATGTTTCGTAACTGAAAAATGGTACATTTTTTCAAGCAGCAAAACCCAGGATTCCAACCAATGATTTCCAGATCGACGAGCTATGTAAATGCATGACCCCTCCAGAGAATGAGCAAAGTGGGTGGTTTGTGGTAGTTTACTGTGATGTTTACATGAATCAGGTGCGACTTCTACAAGTCATTGGCCCATTGTCCTTTTTTAGGAGTTACACAACACACGTACACTTTGACAACACACCGATGGAGGTTGCAAAACAAATCATGCCAAATTCGCAGTATTAACTTGGACGCTAATGGTAGTTAATGGCCTGTTTGGGTTTTCGTTTTTTGTAAACATTTACTAAAACATCAACCCAAACAGTCCGTTATCACCGTTATCGCACTTGTAGCCGTACTTCAACCATCAGTAAAACCACACTTGTAGATAAGTTGAGGAGATGTATTTCCCTGAACAATTGAAACTGTTGTATGCTATCGCTTGTGCTATCTCTAAACCCACTGCATCACAATGCGAACAATTACCTACATATGTGCATGGACGCCGACTCTAGTAAGTGTGCGATGAATCAATGGACAGAAAGTTGTGCCATGTACCATGGGCACTTATGCTTGACTAAACTGTAAACAAATTAGTTTGTAAAGAAGTCACCAAGCAACCTATCGTGACTGCGCACCTAAATTCCTGTTTTTTTTACTGCCTTGAACGCACTTCTAGTACTGTACGAATGTGACATTTCTAGTGATATACAAATAATTATAATAATATGTTTTGCATAATTGCAATGTGTCAAATCGTCAATGAATGCATACAAAACTCCATACTTGGTAGTTCTATTGCATTGACAGAACCATCATCTTTAAAAGGTAGGGTGGTGTGGTTTAAATAGATGCAAGTTGAAGCATTTTGGTGGTTTATCATGATGAGCCAATGCTTGGTTCAACAGGAACCATCTCCGCAAATGATGGGTGTTATAGCTGTCAAGGTTAAATAAACACTATAGTCAAGAGTATTTGAATGTTGAAACAGCAGATGCAACAATTTGTGGCGTGAAATACGTCAGTTCGAACTATCATACAGAGTGTTATTTCACGTTATTTGTTGTAAATTGTCAGACAGAACCCATAGATTGGCATTGAACAATTATGTTTCGTAAAACTGTGTTTCTCGCAAACACCCAAAGACTGCACATTTGACGACAATGATGGAAAGGAAGTCGTGCAAGACGCACCGAGCAACGCTTATGCTACTGGTGTGTCTGAATTTTGAACATTAATAGTATAAACATATATCGTAGTTTGTTGGGCCCAACACCACAGCCACGACAACAATGGATACAATAAACGGAAATCGTGACGTCAGTGAAAGGCCACTATGGTTTCCTTTGACTGATTCAGTGGTTCAATGCATATTCTTTGTATATTTGTTTGAACTTTCGCCCATTGCTATTTGGACTAAATGGTTCAGACTGCATATTTAAAACGTTGGTTTAATTACTGGGTTGTATTTTAGCAAAATAGTACCTAATTCCATGTCAATTATTTCCTTGTATATTGTGTATGTTCAATGTCTGAGCCATTCCAGAAACAACCTATTTTGATATAGTCCACATATATATTTAGTGACTAACAATAAGAATATTTATCTACATACTATTTTGCTTCATGTAGTCCATGTATTAAATTAAAATATCCCCATATATATGTATACTCCATTGCACATAATGACAACTTAATGCAAATTTATTCCGAGCGAACTATACTGTCGTGTAATAGTGTAGTAAGTTAGGGTTGTATGAGCATGCTAATTACAGGAATGGAATTATACAACACAGACATGTATCAGGTGTTTTCAAACAATTGAAACAAAACTTGCTGTAGTAACTTGAAATGTCTATTTACCTAGAAGGAAGAAACATTCTAACCGTTCTACAAATGTAAACAATTAATACAGCATAGTTTAGCAACAAGGTCTGGTTTACCTACCGAGTAATTGCGTAGGGAAACATGTTTCTATTATTGAATCTGTTGAGTCTCAAGGCGTCTTCGCATTAGGAACGTAAGAGGGTTTCACGTGATGATGACGTTACCACATAAAGGCTTAATGAATATCACGCAATGTGCATGTGACTATCATGCGCCATGATATATATGCATTGTTATGCACTGTCGGCTACCATCTAGGCTACTTCGTAGTTCATCTTTGTAAGGACTGTGACGTGTTCATGTTCAATTATTTTGATTGTTTTACGACTAACTAACTTTCTATATGATATTTTTTTCAACTAACTTGGTAATGTACTAGGAACCACGCTGCCTATCTATATCTTATATAATCCCGGATCTCAATATACCCGTGAGATAAACATACAAACATTACCACGGCATGGTATGGCGAACAGACATCAATAATAGTCAGTGTAGACTCACCTTTGCGAGGATGCATTGGATACACTAAAAACTGAGATATGAATTGAACTGTACTTTCGTGACGCTGTAGGCGAAACAAACACGCTCTGTAATTTTTTACTTTATCTGTCTTTGTTTTCTTCATGGGAACAAATAATTACAGACATGGAGATGATGAATTATTCGAGTTACGGATATCGAGTTACGAACATCAAGTTACGAGAACATCGAGTTACAGAAATTATCACGCCCACATTTTTGAAACCACGCCCACTTTTGTGATACCACGCCCAAATTGTAACTCGATGTTCAATTAACACAGTTAACAGAACTTCGAATTACGGGCAATATACATTTTGGTTTTTGTTGAACGTCCACATTCAATAACTCGAACTTTAAATAACAGTTAATCAAACTTCGAGTTACGGGCAACATATATTTTTTGTTTTGTTTAACTTTCAAATTTATTAACTCGAACTTTAATTAACAGTTATTCAAACTTCGAGTTAGTAACTCGAAATTTAATTAACATTTAAACTAAGTTCGAGTTACGGACAACATGGAATTTGTTTTTGTTCAATGTCCACATTCAGTAACTCGATTTTTAAGTAACAGTTAACCTAATTTCGAGTTACGACAACGTAGGTTGTAGTAATTGTTCAAACATCCTGATACCGCCTTTCATTTTTCTCCAACTCTTCATCTCACAGACACGTGATACTTAAACTACGATCTAGAACATGAATTGTGACGAATTACTCAGATTTGGGAACAACAATGCAATTATATGTGTTTTCCTTTGAATACACATGACAGTCGTTAATGCCAGTGTGTATGAAGTCGGGCAAGTTGTGTCCACCAGATATACATGCCAGGTACGCGGACTGTTTTTTCAAAATGAGGTCACATGATCTAAGTGAAGAATGAAACTCCTGCTCACTATTTAAAAAAAATGAGAATTTTTTAGAAGATCGGCGAGCTATGTGGATGCATGGTCACTCTACTAACGGAAAACATAAATAGAGTGGGTCGGTCTTTTATTTATTTATTTATTCTGCAAGTTCACAGAGATTTAGGTAAGCATTTTAGTTTGTTACTATTTATATTCAAATAATGCAGTTTTTGTGAATTTAAGTTGTACTAGATTTCTGAAACGCTCTGGCAAAATCTTTAGATTGTTATTCCCTATATTCAAATGTTGTAGATGCTTCAGATCACCAATATCGTCAGGTAACGACGTAAGTTGATTCCCACTCAGAACTAGTGTTTCAAGGTGCTCAAGTTTCGTGATTTCCCCGGGTAATGTAGTCAGATAGTTGCTCCGTAGGTCAACGATTGTTGCATTTTCCATTTTCAACAGATGCGAAGGATACTCCTTTAAATCCGATTTCGGTATATTCCCCTTTCTCTTCCTTCTAAGAAGACATGATAAAAAAAGATAAAACAAGAATGTAATATTAACAATGATTGTTATGATATAAAATTAGTATATGTACATCGGTATCAATTTCTTAAGACACTTAAAACGCTTAAAAAAACCTATTAAAACAAAACGAAGCTATACTTTATATTCAATTGGGTCATACTCATTATATCTGAAAATTAGTCCACCAGTTATAGTAGTAGAATAGTCATTTATTGGCGTTCCTCTTCTGCATATTATTTTAGAGAAGCAGTTTTCATGACTTCGATACATCACGGATCTGAGATAAATCTCCCAGCCTTTCACGTTGTTTTAATTCCTCCAATCACAGACGAGATGTATTGGCCAATTAACGCTTAGCATTTATGTTGCTGCCCATGTATATCATGATTGCTACATTAATACACTTGTGCTTTCTCCCACATTCATTACAATAGTAAAAATACCATGGGTTTATGTATTTCTGTAATTGTTCCTTTATTGTTAATCTAAAAAATAGTCACCATTTTTGTGCTTCGAGTAAAATATGGATAATCCGTCGTTGAGACTGACGCAATTTATTAGCCAAAACCCAGCGTCATCGTTATAGCCACCAACTCATCCCCTCCCCCCAATCTTTTTTGCGAAGTCAGTGATTTCAGCAAAATTTACAACATGTGCTATTGTCAATACTGAATAATGTTGAAAGTGAATATAGAACCTCGACTTATTGTATATGATAATCATAGTTCCCTAACGATACGCCCGAGACAACATACTTATCGCAACGATCCCATTTTAATACTAATAAACTTTGAAGTGAAAGAAAATGATTTGGTAAAGCACACATAACAGACAGTAATGGTGAACGAGAAAACCCGACTCGTTAATCTTGTAACCAAGCAATTATCGTGTATGATGTCGTGGATGCTTATCCACTTGTGTTTTTCCTCATTGATTCATATTTCTTCTTGTTTATTCAGTTTTATTCTTTCGTATTCGTAATTTAGTTATATTTTTAGATCATGTTTTACTTTATCTATTCGTCTTTATTTTGTTCAACTCCAAGCTATATTAGCTGAGATACAACAATTGAAAGTTGTTACGTGCCTGAAACTATACCGTAATGCATGTATCTCTATTGTAAAGAAACACAGATTCGGTTTACAAAGCCATTTAGTAATAACTACTATCAGCACGAACGCAATGGGAATCAGTTGCAAGTTCGATTTTAAGCCGATGTATCGATATTGAAAACCTATCACGGTGTCTCACTCCTATTTTAATTCATAGGTGTGAATCCTACTGAACCCTATAAAAGGGGCATTCTGTCGTGTATTCATCAGTTGCCTTCTTGTTACATTGTAGTTTCTTTGTTGTAACATTTCCATAATAAACAGTGTATTGTTTAAATGTACATTACGCTTCCTTTCTTGTAACTCTACGATCCAATGCATGCAGTTTGAACCTGATCGAATGTGAGCGAATATCACCCACATATGACGTTATAAATTACTTGTGGACTTTGAACAGAAATGGCATGAGTTCACAGCAATTGTTTGTTTTATAGCAGGCGGTGTGAGCTTGGGGTTAAACCAACTGCTGCAACGTACGAAGACAAGCCGGTAGGCTGGTTGGCGCTCCGCTCCGCTAAAAAA